ATCTTCGTCACAGCTGTTGTGTGAAGATGTACTTCAACTTTTACCACTGTAATTTGATTTTCAATGCTAAGTGGATACTTAAAGCCATCTAACAAAGTCTCTCCTACATTTGCAGTGCATAAACTATTGTCTTGACTAGATACCAATCCTTCTCCAACAGAATTATTCATTACTGCAATTTCCAGATAAAGATTTTCAGAACAGGACTATTTTGAATAAATATTTCTGTTACAAGTCCACTGTTTATCACTGATCTTATATCAAGTAGTATCTGATTCTCCAAAGTCTTTGGCAGACTATCAAGTGTATTTGTTCTTTTCATTGAAGACAAATCTCCTATTTCAGTATTTTGAATAGTTCTTCTATCTGAAAGTGAATTAAATATTCTTAACTAGACAACACACATAGATATATATAATACTGATGATTACCCCAATGAACATGTAACTGAGAAACTTTAAAACAGAATGCTGGGAGAATGCTTTTGGGTTCTGAATCTAACTTTCAGAATATACAGGCCACCAATGCCAATATAAAAAAATCTGTTTTTACCATAAGAACACAATAACAACATTCAAACTTAAATAAATTTTGCTATTTGGCTTTAGTAGTCAAAAAAACCCCTCTATCACGTAGTACACTTAGCTGTAATAGCACTGTTTTAAATTTGTATCAGTATCATAGAATATCCTGAGTTGGAAGGGATCCACAGGGATCACTGAGTCCAATTCCCGGCCCTGCACAGGACAGCCCCAAGGATCACACTATGTGCCTGAAAAGGTTGTCCAAGCTTCTTGAACTCCGTCAGGCTTGGTGCTGTGACCACTTCCCTGGATATGCAGGGCACTAAGACCAAACCTTATCTGTACTCTCGCTGTTACTATTGCCAGTTGCCAAGAATACAAGCCAAAGCACCTCTACCCAGAGTAACACAAGGTCACCATTAAAAAGACAGGCCAATATCCACCTGCATTGTCATCATTACTATTTCTGGATTTAGGCTAAGGCAACACTGGGAGGATGAAGGTCCCCACGGGCCCTGAACTAGACCACGATATGAGAGTACTCCGAAGATTCAGGTCTCTCTGCCCATACGCATCAACCGCTACTGGCCTAGGACCTGTGCAGTGGGGGATAGGAAGGCTTTGGATGCCCTCCCATTGCCCACCTCTGTGTCCAGGGCAGAAGGTGAGGTGACAGGTCCTACCTGGGGCATCCCAGGTGCTTCAACAGAGGGCATACCCTCGGTTCTACCCCAGGCAATTCACCTTTCCCCAGATGTGCACCAGAATGTTAATGGAGCGGGGTCTGTGCTGGAATGCCGTGCCCAGGCAGGGGCAGTGGCAGAGCGCAGGCATGGCCTAAGAACCAGGGTGCATTTGGGGGGATTTTTTTTTGTTGCTGTTCCTTCTGTATTTATTTAAATTCCCTTGGAAATTATCCCACATTGCAAGGAGTCAAAGATTAACCAGGACCCTGGTACCGAGGTAGAGGTTAACTGTCCTAATCCATGTAGAAGCGATACGCAACACTGGTGAGGCCACACTTGGAGTGCTGTGTCCAGCTCTGCACTTCTCAGGAGAGGCATGGACAGGCTGCTGAGGGTCCAACACAGGGCCACAAAAATCAATAAGGAACAGGAGCATTTCTCCTATAAGGAGAGGGTGAGAGAGGTGGGACTGTGCAGCCTTGAGATACAAAACGGAAGGGTGGGTGCAAAGAATACAGAGCCAGGGTCAGTGCTCAGTGACAGGACAAAACACTGAAACTCAGCAGTTTCCCTCTGAACATCCAGCAACACTTTCTCACTGTCAGAGTGAACGAACACTGGCTTCACTGGCGTGTGGAATCTCCATCCCTGGAGTTACTCAGAAAGTCATCTGAATGTGGCCCTGGGCAACCAGCTGCTTGGACCAGATAACCTCCAGAGGTGAACCCGAAAAAGGGAATTGTTCATTAACACACTCCCTATTAACTAGCAAGACGTGTTTAAATCACTGCTCAAATCAACTCAATAGTCCGCTACTGTTCCTAACTGGATTTAACAGCACTGATTTTGCCAGTCCAGAAACCGCAACAAGGGAGATGGGAAAAAGATACAGAAGATGTTAAACATTGTAGTAAACACAAAGTAGTGGTAATTGTGAAATTTTATTTCATTTTTTGAAGTCACAGAAGAAAGTAGAAAATAGAGACAAACCACGACAGATGTAAATAACCAACAACAGATGCAGAGTAACTAAACAAGATTAAAAAAACCCTCTAGCTTAAATTAATATATTTTACATGAGAAAACAATTGGTACAAAGGCTGAATTAGAACGATGATTTTCAAGGTCATGCACACACTTTCCTAGTTCTTCAAAAGACTCAAGCCTTTCAAGAATATTCAGTTGGGAACAGAATTAATCCTGAAGAACGGTACCCTCTACATGGACTTAATGCTTTCCTAATTTCTGCTATGAAATAGCCAAGAAAAATTTGAAAAATACACATCTGAGGTATTTCACAAATTCATAATGCAGTTTAATAAACAGGAAAATTTATTATCCAACTTGACTTTTACCACGAACTCAACCCCAACTTTGAGCTTTTAAATCACTAATTGAGAATCAACAATTCAAGGTTTTAGTAACAAATTAGTAGTTTTACTGGAATATGAACATTTTCCTTTACAATAAAGTACACTGTACTAGAAGATTCATTGAAATATAAGCAATTTCAGTTACATTCCTATGGCTTTGAGCAAAAAAAACTCAAGCAGTTTTACTGTATGTACACAATATTGAACATCAAGATTTAAATTATTTATTAATAACCTACATTCACTGTGGATTTCTAAGATTTACATCCAAAAAGCATATTTTATTTACACGCTGCTGACATTTCAAAGAAAAAGAAATAAAATATTATCTGTGGAAATTATGATCTATTCCAAAATTTAAAGAGATACATTTAACAACACAAAACGTTTTAAACATTTACAATAAACAGCTTTCTGTGCCAATTAGAGTTACTCTCCAAGAATGTAAAATTGCATTGATAACTGCACTAACTACAATTACACTAGAAACATTTAAAACCTGAGAGTCAAATCTAAACCTTTCTTTTTAAAAGAAAATCCTAAAAGCTATTATTCCCTAATGGTAATTTAAGCACAGATTGGTCAGTGGTCAATTAACAAAAAACAAAACCAAACCCCAACAACAACAACAACAACAACAACAAAAACCCCCAAACCCCCAGTGCTTTATTTCTGCAGCTCCAAAAATCCATCACTATAAAATTGTTGCAATAGTTTGATAAATGCCAGGCCTGCCATCCCCAGTAAGGCTTGTACTGTACCCTAACCAAATAATGAGTGTTTTTTATCAATTCTGGTGTGTATTCCTACATTTTTGTAAGCATGCAGTTGCTTAGGTATGCATCTTGGATCTTTGAGGGTTCCCACCTCAAACATACATATACAGGTGTTTTAATAGCTAGATCAGAGTAAAAATAAACATGAGGAGGCACAGAAAATTAGAAATACTGGCCAGAAAACATTTAAAGGCTAATGAGAAGTTTTATATCCACCCTAAGGACCTTTTAAACTCAGCATAGCTCTGGAGCACCACTCACTCTATTACTAACCACCATGTACCTTACACAAAATAATAAAAATAAAAAAATTGTGGTGTTAACAAGTACACTTTACTACACTGCAAGGATGTAAAAAGTTACCACACCTATAAAGCCTGGGGAAGAGAAGCATCATGCACAAAGTTACTCCATTTGGTAGCAGCCATTTTATTTCTGCACTTGGAAACATCACACTTCTTTTTGAGCGAAATAGCTTTCCCGTCCCCCCTTGTATTCCTTTAGAAACTACTTGATCAAGGGCGTCTCCCAGGAAGGGTTTAAGAAAGCCATGATTTCCCCATTCTGAAGTTTTTTCCACGGCTTTAAGAATTTGCCCTTCTCATGCAGATGTTTGGAAATGTGGTAGTGGTCCTTCCAGGCTGAAAGGAGGCAAATTGCAATTGCCTACACAGACAACCTTGCTTTGTAGACTATCCAACACATTACATTTAATTACATCGACAATTCCTAGGACAGAGAAACTCTTATTTCAAGTGACCACCAATACCATTCACCAACACAAACACGTGAATATCTGTAAATCTGAAACAAAGTTAGCCCTGCACTTCATAGGGACTGATCTTTCTATTTAAGATGGGAGCATTTCATTACACCTTTAAACCTAACTGCACCATATGGCAACATATTCAAGTCTCCTTAGGCCACATCATCCTAACTTGTAATTTGAAAACATTACATTACTTACTACTTCACTTCCTTCACCACTAAAACAGTGTAAAATCAACTCCTAGCACATGCTTTTTTCCTGGATTAAGGATCTTTGTTGTTCTAAGGCACTTGCATGAACAAGCACACAGGTCCATTTATTTACACAGAAGTAAGGTCAGCGTCGCAAACATGCCTGTAAGCAATCAGAAAAACGTGATACCTGCTAATGAGGTGACACATTTTACTACCCAATTGTTGGGTTGTTTTGTTTGTTTGGTTGGCTTTTTTTTTTCAAAAACCATAAAATTTTTTACAACTTAGTATGCTAAAGTGGGTGGTAGCAGGGATTTTTTTTGGTATGTTTTCCAAAATTTACCTCTAAAAAAAAAACGAAACAAGGCAAACAGCCACAAGTTTTGAAACTCATTTACATAAAGCAGCAGATACATTGAAGAACATTCTGCTATTAATAAACAGCAAATCTAATTTTTTCTAGTATTTAAGTCAGTGTCTTTTATCCCTTTGATTCTGGAAACAAGTAAACTACTTTTAGAAAAAAAAAAAGCAAGTGTATACAAATTAAGTGAAAACTGTAGAAGTTAGAATATACATGACTTCATGCACTGATACTACGCTTCAGCCCTATAAACATACAAGATTTCAAAAGTAATTTTTTATGGAAATAAACTCTTCCAAACTACTTGGAAAAAAAAAAAAAAAGAAAAATTTAATACACTGCTAAAGTCTTAACAGGTGATCAAAAAAGTGTTGACCAGTTTCTTCGCCAGCTACTGTTTGACAAACCTTGCTCTAGTTCACTGTGCAGAAGAGTTTTCATCCCAACAAGAGGAGATTGCTTGGCACCAAGAAAGCGTTTCACTTTGTACAGTTTTTACTGAGGTTAAACAAACCCATGATGTCAACCATTGCTTTTTGGATGTTTTTTCCAAAACGATGAGAATCCTTAAAAACAAACAAAGAAAACCCAAAATCAAATACTTCTACTGTCAATTAACAGTTACTTTTCAGGCAAAAGAAGAAACCTTTTAACATTTTGTTATTTTGGAGCTCATCGAATTTGGGCAGGTATTTTACCATACAATACTATACAAATTAATCCAGGTTTATGCTATTATTGACTAATGAGTTCATTATGCATTACTTTCCTACAGACAGAACTGAGATAATATCCTTTTGAAATCAGATGCATGTGTAGGTTTCCGTTACTTCAAAACCACTGGGTTTTGACATTGCTTTTTATACAGGATTTTGCAAAAGCTAATCTTCAGAAAACAAAGGAATGTTCAGAAAATGTATTACTAATGACCAAGAAACACAAAAAAAAGATCAGAAGAACATTTTTGAGTTTCTATCAAAATCATGATTCCTCTGCCACTGAAACATTTCATAAAGAATTGAAAATAAAAACAACAATTTTTTAAGTGTAAACAAACTAGGAACTTGTTCTGTTTATTCTAAGTGCTGGATGAATGATACAAGAAGTTAGGATTACAAATATAAATTCTCAGCTACATTACAAGACCTACTACAGAGATCCTACTAATATCAAGGCCACACACATTAAATGCTTCCTTTTCTGCAGGGATCTTTGACTTGACTAGTAAGTAAAAAGAACAGAGAGAAAATTAAAGCACAAGCCAACAGGTATCTGAAGAACAATAACAACCATGGAAAAAAAAAAAAGTTGTATTTCCTAATCTTTAATAATTAACCAGAGGCACCACGGTCTCTTGGACAAGTTACGGTCAAAAGAGGAAAACTAGTTCAGCTATGTAACCCTGAACGAACTCAACATGTTAACTAAAGTCATAAAAATATAAAGGGGAAGGATGAATTGAAGCTGACTCAGGGCAGGCCTCCACAACAGCAGGATACTGAATAGATGACATCTACTATATCCTAATAAAGGGTGTTATTCTAATACATTTTTGATGAATTATGTTTCTCAAGCACAGATTACAACTTATGGGCCAGCTTCTTTCGGTATTATTTAAACAAAGAAGACTTAAATAGGGAGCATACATTTTACTCTGTCTTTACAACTGCAGCCAGAGACAAATCAAAGCAAAACTGTAATAAAAAAACATCCAAGACATGCCCATCTTACTGTTTATGGGACACATAAACAGTAAGTAATTTTAAATGAGTTCCAGGGAACTACACATGAGTAAAGGTGACCCTGGGCCACATGTTTTCTTTATGCTTGAAAGTATAAGTGAAAGAGAATATGGTAGTCTTGGTTGAGGAAGCTATTAGATTTATAGAAGTGGAGATAAAAACCCCCAGAAAAACAGCATATGTTGAGAAAGAAAAAACACATTATAACAGTATGTTGCAACTTCTACCACAATTTTTTAGACAATGAATAGAACAGTTTTATAAGCAGGTATCAGAACAGATTTATTAAACCATAGGAAAGGATTGATTCTTACCGTCTCAGAAGAAGATATTTTGCTGGAGACATGGAAATGGATGGAATTTTCACCCAAGATAATATAAGAAACACCATAACCATCATCAGCCACCTATGGGAAGAAAGAGAAAACAAGTTCTAAACTTTTTCTTTTTCCTTCCATTCCCAAATCAACTTATACATAATTAAAGAGTTCTTACTGTGTAGTTTTTTAAATCAGTTGCTATTTCTCCTCAAGCAAAAGTCAAGATTCCATATTTAATGGATAATTTTTGAAGATTGATTTCCACTTGAGGAATAGTTCCAGTCTTATCTGAAGTGCGTGAAATTAACATTTTCTGAATATTTGTCTTTAACATTTCCCAGCTTTGGTATTTTGAAATAAAATACTTGTTCAAGGAGCTTCTCTTATCAAGGTCTGTCCTAAGCAGCTACACATCTTCAGTGCACGAGCAGAAAGGAATAAAATAGTTCACTTGTATACCTAAACATGGGATCATTCTGCCAATGTGAACAAATATGATACATAAATATGGAGTGGAAGAGCCTCGTATTATGAAAACTTGCCCAAAGGCAAAGTCACCTGACTCTACAGCAAATATACGATTCTGAACGCCTGTATCATGAGCAGAGGGCTTATCCAATTCCAGCATTAGTAGCATTAACCGTCCCAAGTTTCAGTCTGATGTTATATTCGAAGTATGCCTAGTAAACACAAATTATGCTGCTGTCACCCTTCCTTGTCTCTTTCCTAACTCAAAGGATCACAACCTTCCAGCTCTTTGTTGCCACTGCCGCCAAGCAGCCTGATTGTCTTACCATCGCTGCTACAGAAGGCTTAAAAAGACCCCTAAACTCAACAAGCTGATGGCACTGAATCTCTGTGCTACTTCAGCAAACCAAAGCATAGTTCTTGTAAGAACACAAGAAGTGATTCAGGGAAATATAAGCAGGGTTATTTGGAAATGGAGACAACGGAAGGAAGGAAAATTAAAGGAATGAAGAAATAATAAGGGATCAGTTAATGTGCAATTAGCAAAAACAAAATAAAAAAAGACCTAGAAATTCCTCATGTACAGAAGCTCTGGGCACAGCTAATGTGATAAAAGCCCCATTTTTATCAGATCTCTCTGCCATGGAGCCCCATTTCACATTCTGTAACTATGTATTTCCTTAAGAATAATCCATTTTTGTAGTGGGATACCAGAAAAAGGTGACACAGATTTTTCTGAGCACATCCAGATCACGGCAAAGCATTAAACACATGCATTTAAAAGCGTAAGTTGCACCTTGATGGGCAACATCAAGGCATTACAGATCTGAAATTTTTAAACTGGCATATTGAAACTAAAACCTCTTTTTTAATGGGTACTTGTGTTTAGCAAACATACCGGTCCAAAGCCTCCACCAGAAGCTAACATCTCAGGGTTCTTCTTTAGATCAATGTGTTGCTGTGGTGTCTGACTCGTTGACAGCCTCCAAGGTTCTGACAAAACCTTCATTAGATATGAAAGAGATGCAAACAAGTATAACGCATGTTTAAAAATATGGAACTCTCAAAAACTAGTTAAGATAAAGCACTCAAAGCAATATTAAGGATAACTCCAGTTCCCATTTCAATGGAATGAACAATTAAGAAGGTTAAAAGAAACGGGTAAACTTGTCCTGATATGCAAACTATTAACATATGAGGTAGTCATGTCAATTCTTTATGAGAATAAAATAAAATTTCAATACTAATACTACTTCAAACAAGATTATCTGGTTGACAGCCGGGTAAATAATGCATAACAGGTCTTGTTTTAACAAGATCATGACTAGCCATATTCAATTCCCAGTAAGATACTACATCAAGTTAGAAGTTTTTAAAATCTCTAACAATACATATGTATCTTGAAAGTCTGTGGAAGATGTAGAAAGTTGTTTTATTCTTGAGTTAACCACCAGTCACATTTAGGAGAGCAAGCAGACAAATGTGAGTAGATTAATTTTGAGGCAAGCTGGAACTCATTTTTTATTAATCAGAAAAAAAGAAAGAGTGCAATGTAATTATTTTTATAAAATCCAATCTTAAGGTCTAGTAATAAATAATAAAATAATAAAAAATATATAAATATAAATTAAAAATAAAATTAAAAATAAAAAAAAAAAATAAAGTAATAAATATTTCACAGTACTAAATTGTGACATTACCATCATATACAGCTCCTTTAGCTCATAATAACTTAAAGTGATTTTGTTACAGTTCCCAAAGAACATTCTTGAGTCAAAACACACAGCTTCTGCTGTGTTGCCTTGAAAACATGTAATAACCACAAGCAAACAATATTTTTTTTAATAATGACTATATCTTTCTTGCAATTCTTAGTAACAAGTACTATTAGAGAATCACAGAATATGCTGAGTTGGAAGGGACCCACAAGGATCATTGAGTCCAGCTCCTGGCTCTGCACAGGACACCCCAAGAGTCACACCATGTGCCTGAGAGTGTTGTCCAAAGGCTTCTTGAACTCTGTCAGGCTTGGTGCTGTGACCACTTCCCTGGGGAGTTGTTCCAGTGCCCAACCACCCTCTGGGTGAAGAATCTTTTTCTAATATCCAACCTGAACCTCCCCTGACACAACTCCAGGCTGTTCCCTTGGGTCCTGTCCCTGGTCACCACAGAGAAGAGATCAGTGTCTCCCCTCCTCTTCCCCTCACGAGGAAGTTGTAACTGTGATGAGGTGTCCCCTGAGTCTCCCCTTCTCCAGGATGAACAAACCAAGCCACTCATCCAGCTTCCCCTCAAGACCCTGCACCATCTTTGGTGCCCTCCTTTGGACACTCTCTTAATGTTTTTTTTTACATTGTGGTGCCCAAAACTGCACATAGTATTCAAGGTGATTATACTACAAAGCTCCCTGAAAGCAATATTATAGGTCTATTAATAAGTGTATACATAAAACAAAATGAAACTTACAATCTCTCAGCAGATGTGAAAAAATGTTACCTACAATTTTACCTTTTTTCTTAGAAAAAACAGAGTTCTACAGGTATGTAAAGCAGACACAGCAAAACACTAATTAAACAAAGAATTTTTTACTGTAATGAATTTTTATCAATAAAAGTCACTTACTTCCTTAAGGAAAGGAGAATCTACAGCAAGGTACTTGGACACGACATAAAGGCAAAACAGATGGCGGTCAATGCCACTACCAGTCATGGCAAGACGATATAAGTGCTGATGTTTGGCAGCAGCAAGCCGAAAGAGTTTCAGCTTATTTTCATTCTAACAATGAAAAAAAGGTTAAAAAAAAAATCAGTTAAGTGAACTCGGTTGAGGAACTAATACTTACTTCCTGTGAATGATTCCTGCTTCCTCTCAAAAAGGAAAGCTTAACTGGTATGAAATTACTTGTTCTACAAATCTATGTTTTGAGTTTTACAAGTCACAAAAATTTCACAAGTAATCACAATTTCCTGGAGTTCAAGAACTGTAGCTAATGGTTAAGTTCTTTTGGTATGGCCTACAATGTCTGCTATATTGACAGAAAACGTGGACAATTACCTTATGCTGCACTTCCTTCCTCAAAACACAAAAGCATCACTACAAGTGTTTAAAAACTATTTGAGGACTTATATGGTTGTCTAGTGGTAACTCACATGTTTATGAATTACCATAGAATCATGGAATGACTGGGTTGGAAGGGACCTTAAAGATCATCTCATTCCAACCCCACTGCCATTGGCAGGGACGCTCTTCACTAGACCAGGTTGCTCAGAGCGCCATCCCGTCTGGGCTTGAACACTTCTAGGGATGGGGCATCGACAACCTCTCTGGGCAACCTGTTCCAAAGTCTCACCACTCTCACAATAAATAATTTATTCCTAATATCCAATCTAAACCTACTCTCCCAATTGTATAAGGCAACAACACCATGAACTTACACTTTCAGTTGGGTCTTCCATGGTTTGAACAAATTTACATGATTCGACAGTGCATGAACGAACAGTTTCAGTCCTGCCTTCTCTGAATAAGCGTGTCATAGAGGCTTCATATGTTAAAGAAAATTTTCCCATGTCCTTGAAAAAGGAAAAAATAAGAACTTAAATGTTTAAAATTAAAAGATTTAGCCACCCTTTCTCAATCAGTAGTCCAAGCTAACCACACAGGATACGAATCATTCCACAAATTCAACTCAAGTTTTTAATAGCCTACCATTAGCCCTCCAACCCAAATATAATGAAAGCAAAAATAAGATTAGCAGCATGTAATTAGTAGCACTAATAGAACAATCACACCAGCAAGGACTACTCTTTGCATTTTATATTCAGTCTTTTTCAGTTTATAACAGAATGTTGCTACACTGTCTTTCCTGAAAGCCCATTACAGAAAAGGTGAACTAGCAGAAGAAAACACAGGTAGACACTTTTGTTAATCCTGTTAGGGATTGTCCGTGATTACTGGATTATGTGTGACTCTAATCTAAAAGAAACTATAACACTGTTTAGATTATAAACACAGCTACTAGAAGTTTTATATCTTCTTTCAAGTCCCAAATGCCTAATGATAGACCAGCTAAGAAGAAGAGGAAGATCTCCACGTGTCAATATGTCAACCCTTGGAGCATTCGTTTCCAGCTAGTAATCCATTTAGGGTTTTTATCAATTTCCACTGAACGTCTTTAATAACCTTGCACAAGCAGTGCAGATTACTCTACCCAGTCACATGTTTTAACCACAAACATTTTATACCCAATTTAATGAGATTCTGTAAGGCAGAAAGTCTGTTCTTACCCGATAGTGAGCAAGCTGCAGGGCAAGTTGCACAAAGGCATCAGGGCTGGTTTTTGCTTTCTTTATTAGTCCTTTTCCAAAAGTACCAAAATAAAATGAACAGAAGTCCACATCGTCTGCCAGAGCTACAGCAGTGCTCAGAGACCTCTCAATCACTTCTTGACACTTAAATAAAGAAACAAATAATTACACACACCTATATGCATACACATGCATTCAATGGCAAGTATTTTTAACTGATAAATAAGAAATGCTGCCTTTATGCATGTCAGAAACATCATTACCTAAATAATTTCCCTGTGGAGAAAGAAGAGAAGCTATTTTTGCCAGGAAGTTAAAATTCAAAAAGCTAATAAAAATGTTTTAAGTCAATACACATCCAAAAAAGACACTTTAAAACACACCAGCATTAAAACTGTTCAGATCACCAGAACATAAAAGCATGACCCACAGATATAGAATGCAATAGATGTATGGTTTCCAAGCTGCCATACGTGCTTAGTTAAATACATCATCAAATATTATTTTTAATTCAAAATTGAAATAGGCAGTGACAGTTTTTCCTGAACTCCAGGAAAAAAAAGAAAAAACAAACCTTATTAGACACGTATACAGAATTTTGAACACAAAAAAAGACAGGTAGTTTCAGGGAACTATTAGATGAGTATCTGTTGTGACAAAAATAATGAAATCTCAGCGACTTACACTTAATTTTAATACAGTTATTATTTAAAATAGGTAGCCACTTTTTTTTTTTTGATATACTGCCAACCAAGAAAGCTTGATGTTAAAAAACTCCTGACTTTATAAATAAACTGAGTAATGCCTACACATCCCTACAGGACTCATAGGAATTTATGGTTGATTTATAGGGTTACCAGTAATTACATAAATGATATGACTGCTTAGGAAAAGAGAAGCTTCTTCCTCAAACCACTTCTTCTGTACTTACTTCTTCTGGAATTTCCCACTGTAGTTTGGTGGGAAGAGGAATATTTGGATTGGTATCTCCTTTGCAATGCCCATCTTCTGAATAGCCCAGTTCAAGATATTCAGTTGCCATCACATTCTGCAAAGAATGATACTTCTTCAGAATTGCAACACAATACGTATTGCTGTGGAATTAGGGTTTCATCGTGAAATCAATATAACCTATTTTCAGTACACAGTGAAATTCAATATCCAAGCCATTTCCAAATACAGAAAACAACTGCAAATGAAGTCCTCCATTTTACCTCTTATTTTAAGGCATTTTTACTTGGGTTCTGAGCGGGAAGAATACCCGATATATGGGAATATATCAGTGGGAAGAATACCCAAACACTTATTCAATTACATTGATGCATTTTGTTAATTCCTACTGAGTTAATCAAATGTTTCAATTAAAAACCCAGTCAAAAAATAAAAGTCTCTTCCATTGAGACAATCTAAACTGCATTGTCAAGTCACTCTCGTTAGATCAGAAGCTGTGTCGCTTTGCTGTGAAGACATCTATGCTCACTAAAATGCTGTCCTTCAAAGGACAGCGGCCTTTTAAGCAAGGGTTTGAGGTATTTTTAAAATTCTACAATTGTTACAGACACAGACTCCTGATCACTCATCAGCGACATGAATGAAAGGGATTGAAAGTAATTGCTCATCTTCAGCACTGTTGCACAGACCATGCCACATTATCTTTTGGTATTTGGCATTAGCTTTTGGTATTAAACACCTACCTCCCACAGGTGTCCAACAATAGGAGCATCTGCCCAGGAGTGCTCTGCATTCAGACCCATTTTGCCATTTTTGAATATTATGAGAGTGAATGTTTTGTCAAACCACCTACGAAAGAAATCAGTATTTCCTTACGGCTTCATAAATTTCAAAAGCATTTTTATATCGTAACTTCATCTCTCTCCAAAATTCACATTCAAATACATTAGTTCTCAAACTTTTTTTTTTTTTTTTTAAAGTAACATTTTATTTAAATAAATAGACCTAAATTTGAACCTCATGAAATTTAACAAGGCCGAATATGAGGCCCTGCACCTGGGTCAGGCCAATGCCCAGTATCAATAGGCTGAGGGATGAATGGATTGAGCAGCCCTACCAAGAAGGTCTTGGGGATATCAGTGGATGAAAAATTCTACATGAGCTGGCAATGTGCACTCGCAGCCCAGAAAGACAATCATGTCCTGGTCAGCTAAAGAAGCAGCATGGCCAGCAGGCCAAGGGAGGTGATTTTCCAGCAAGGGAGGTTGTTCAGTCTGGAGAGGAGAAGGCTCTGGGAACACCTTCTTGCAGCCTTCCAACATATTTTATTTAGGGCTTATAAGAAAATCTAAAAAGACCTTTTACCATGGCTCATAGAGACAGGACAGATGGCAACAGATAGAAACTGAAAGAGGGTAAATTTTGATGCATCATAACAGAGAAATATTTTTTACAATGGGGTGGTGAGACAATGGAACAGGTTGTCCAGAGAAGATGTGGATTTCTTGTCCTTAGAAGTGTTCAGCATCAGGCTGGACTGGACTTTGAGCAATCGGATGAAGCAAAAGATGTCCCTTCCCGTTTCAAGAGGGGTTGGAATTAGTTATTTTTGAAAATCCACTCCAACTCAAACAATTCATGAATTTTATGAAATTTATCAACTTGTACGTCACTGATTTGCATGTGTTAGCCAAATTCTAAAAAAGAGAAGGCATTTTCCACAGAGTCAATACTGCACCTGTCATAACATCTGCCATGTATTAATGATTTTGCATATGCATCCAGTGACCTCACTGGATCTTCTTCCTTGTACCCATGCTCGAGATCATCCAATGTCACAAAGAATGCTGCTTTCTCAATAGCATCTAAGGACTGTTTGTTCTTTCCACGGCTAAAATAAGCCTGACGAGCTTTAGCCCATGGCACTCTGTAAAAAAAAATAATTGGTTTATAGCCAGATTACATAAAAGTGTGAATGTATCATCACCCTGAAGATCACTGTGAGACATTCCTCCTATTTTTATGGAATTTGACACAACTACTTTTCACTATTTAAACTATACGAGCAGTGAAAAGTTCTGAAAATACTCATACAGTGTAATCCTAGGAACCAATTCAATTTATCACGCATGTGCAAAGCTTAATCATCAGAAATTCAACATTTCTGCACATAATGAAAGCAATCAACATTGTTACAACACCTAAAAAGTCTGGACTCTTATAAAAGTCAACAAATAAGTTCAACAAATCCGAAGCAAAAGAAGTCCTGATCAATGTAATTTCTATATGGCTGAACCATGTTTATTTCTAAATTTGTGTGATTTTCCCAATGAAAAGAAAAAATCTGTTTGTTTTAAAGCACAAAGTGAACAAAAGGAAGTACTCCTAGTACATAAGTATATTAAAATCCACAGCTCTTTCTCTCTCATCCAGAAACAACTTGACAGAGTTTGCCACAATTTAATTGCACTCAGTGATCTTGTACCTAGAACCAACTGAGTACATACTGCTAGTCATGAGCATGAGTAACAGTTACTGAATTCTCAATCATAATTTTTAAGTTATTTTTTAAAATGCCGATGAATCTGAGAGTAGACATAAAGCTCAAACAGTCCAACATGTGTAGCACTGTAAAGCTTTCAATTACCACTCTTTTGACTACCACAATTAAACCAACTTCTCCAGATAAGTAATCCATACTACTTTTTGTCACTGCAAAATTCCTTCAACTCCACATAGTTACAAATGACTGAAGCACTGTTACACATCAGCTATACACAAAATCAGTGACCAATGTATAAAGCAACTGACCACAGACTATTTTAAAATTCCAAAGCCAGTACTCAATTAGCATGTTATGCAACTATTCCTAAATACTAAATTTGTCTTAAAAATAATAACCACCATACCTATCTCCTGCAGTAAGAGCTGCAAGTTTTGCTTCACCAGCCTGAGGCTCTGAATCATCCTCAAGAATTCTCTGCATCTGCTGTTCAATTTCTCGGGGTTTCAAGAGTCTGCCATCATGGTACAGCCACACTTTGAAGTAACGGCCCTTGTGATACACAACAATGTGTTTGCTGTCTTTCACATGCTGGAGAGTATCTAGAATTGCAATCACTTATGTGAAAACAAAGCTGAGATCTCAAAACACTAATGCACTAAATAACATCAAATGCCTGCTGCATGCACTGCTAGTTATTTCAGCATTCCACATTATTTCACCACAAATATTCCTGCATGAAACAGTCAAATACCCAGATCTGACAATCATTTGCACACATAGCACCACCACTTTCCACACTAGAGGCCAGTATTAAGCAACGAAATCTGTATTTATCTATCTGAAAGTTAAGCACCAGTAGTGTACTCTGATGAAGCAGTCAGCAAAAGAACATGCTAGATGAGTCTGAGGAAAGATACTTCTAAATCATCTGCACTGAAGTGCTAGACAACTCATGGTACAATCTATGGAGAGTCTTAAGAGAGCCAAAATTTAGCACCATAAGCTTTTGTTCATATTTATCCTGGTAGAGGCAGAGTGAACACTACAGATATAGATGTCAGTGAAGCAGAAAACTGATCCACAATTTTTCCCTCAATTTATTATTTATATGGCTTAATCGGGATAACCCTAAATTTAGTTATGAAGGAATTGTATCAAATCACAGGTGAAGGTTTCTAAAGCAGACAGAAAAAGCCTGTAACTAATGAAAACTGTTAACTGAATTCCTTCACTACCCCAAAGAACTGTTATATTCCCTATGAATCTGAAAAGAGCCATTACTGAGATGGTAAAGAAAGATGATGTCAAAAATGAAGGCTGAGCCTAAAAATCATAATTCTGAGAGATCTGAGAAACAAGAGTCCTTTACTTTGGCTGTTCTCACAGTTAGTCATGAGGTTTTGGTAGGTATGCTCCATCTCCTTATCAGAAGCAGCACTATGCTAATCGTGCCTCTAGCTATCCATGTTGCATTTCTGCCAACTACAGGCCTGGCAGAAGCATCACTCCAACTGTCAAGTGCATTAATACAACAGTCTGTGAATTGAGAAGATACCCCTGAGGTGGGTGGTGGTGGGAAAGCAGCCAAGCAATCAGCTAATGAGGCAAGTTTTTCTGTAATCCCAACCTGAGTCAGGACACTGCAAGTACTTGTACCTGATGTGTCCATACTTAAAAAGACAACCTCTTGAATGTTAAAAGCAAAACTGAGATTACCAGTCATCTATATCAACAACTGACTTCATAGTAGTTGTTAAGCCCTGGCAATTATATATGCCTAAATACAGATTTATGCACCTGGAATACACATTTGTTGCAGAACAAAAAAATCCTCTCACTTTGCTAGTCCAAGAAACCATTTAGGTACATTTGAAGATGTACATAACATGCTGCATGGAATTCCTATGAAAAAATGGGAACAAAAAGACATAAAGGCTCTTCCAGTCTTAGAAGTAGTTCACTCCAAAGTATGTTTTGTTAAAAACCATGAAGATGAAATAACTGCTCAAGTGACAGGATAAGATTTTACCATCAATTTATATGAAGACATGCCATAGATTTTTTGCTTTTTTTTCCTTAGGAACTGTACTATACATAGAAAAATTGAAATCAGGGGGCAAGAAATCAAGGTACTCATGAGAACGTGGGAAAAATGTCCTTGTAACTCACATATCCATACACAGAATGACAAAGTTGTTTTTTCTTTAGAAAAACAGAAACAAAGCAGATCAAAAAAGTAAAATAGAAAATGTGAAGTGCTTAGGAGAAAAGTAAGGCAATTTTTATGATACTGACTCCAGTTAATATGAAATACTTTAATCAGGAGAAACTGAGGAGAATCACTAAGATATACAGCATGTATTTTAATCAGGTGTTAGTTAGGATAAGCCACTTCTATACTTTCATGCAAAACTTATTTTTGGACCAAAAGAACATCAAATCTAAAGCTAAATGCAAACCATTGATACCTCTTATTTTATTGACGATAGGGAAAGGACAAGGGTTGCACTCTCAGTACTTGAAGTGCTCTAAATAACAACAGCTCATAGACTACAGATGTCCAATAGAGATTTACAACCTCGCTCGTCTATTAAAGCTACTAATTAGTGACAGGGAGTAATCATATCAGGGATGTGTTTTTCTTCACTTTGCAGATAAAGAAAGCTGAGGCATAGCTGGAAGAAAATTCTTCAATAACCTAGCAAAGAGCAGCAGCAGAACTGAGAGCAAAGTACTTATCTGACACATACACCTACTGCTGTATCCACTACCCAGTGCCACTTTTCCCCTTTATCCAAATTCCTCTTTATCCAACTACATACATGTAAGTACAGCAAATGTCAGATGAAGATCCTTGCACACCCCTGTGTTTGTTCAGAAACTCTGTTTTGAATTCTGCAGTTCTACGCACTCCATAACAATTCATTACTTCCTGATTCTTGGAATAGAGTATTTGATGTATACTTGTGTCAGTCAGATCTTTAGCTGGAAAAATGGGATTTTGGCAGAAGAGACCCCAAACCCTAAATTCCATTACAGTGTTTATTTTCCTTGGCTGGCTTTGCTTACCTGATTCCTCTCCTGGGATACGAGAAGTATTAAACATCCTTTCCCACTGAGCCGAGCAAAGTGGAACAGTAGATCCCAGCAGAAGAATCTGTGACACAAATGTACGTTAAAATGTAATTTTGCATATACAATTAGAAAATTAAAAAAGCAAAGAAAATAACAAGGATCGGATTAAAGACGGGCTACAGAAGAATAAGATTTATAATACATCGACTCAGTTTTGGTTTTTTTCCTCCCTGTTCATCCTCTTTTCTTGAACTAAATGTGGAAGATTCCACGGACATTCCAGCAGCATTACTTTTTCCTTCCTACTGAAAGCTCACCCTTCAGGAGGGATGATTGAAGCTAGCTAGCATCTGAAATCCAAAAAACCTCTCAATGGCTGGTCTGGATGCAAAACTTACATATGCAACATTCATTACCCCTTAATTTCTTATTTTAAAACTATTTATGGCTGTGTAGGAACTAAAGTTCACATTTCTCATATTTGTAGTTACATACAGCTAACCACATCCTAACCATGACCTTGAACAAAACTGCTTAATTGTTTCCACAACATTTGTTCACCACGATACACAGCCAATGGACACAACAGAAACTCAGGATGGGATTTACCTTGCCTATCTTTGCTACCTAGAAATTAGTGCAACACAGGATTTTATCACCATCTATGCTTAAGCTCCCACTGGCCCACTCCTGGCATCAAGAGGCCTCCAGTCTTTGTCCCAACCCCTCGTGCTCACACCATGTGATATCACAGACTTTTCATCCTTCAGTGGCTCAGAAGTACCATCACAGGCTTAGCACATATCAATAACATCAGTTATACAGAATACTTAACACAGGCAAATACAAGTCTCTATTTGTCTTTTGGGTAATGACAGTGCTAACTTCAAATACTGCAACTAGTTGGCATGACAGAATCCAGTATTTTTGATAGTTGGTAGTTTCTTCCTCTGTGTAATTCAAGAGATAACCAAGAAGACATGGGACCACAAAAATTAGTTACATCTTACATATAGTTCTAACAATAAGAATTCCTCTACTCTCCCATTCTGAACACTGATCAACTTCTCACTGGAAGACTGGAAAGAGATAAAAAGCCATTTAAATTGATATACATACTGGTTTGATTTCTTGTCTGTCCAGTTTTTTCCGATAGAGCAGGATGGCATGGATAACATTACCAGCTCTAGCTGCCTGCAGGGTTGTGGGACATAAAGAAAGGAAGTCCTGTGAAGTAGATAAGAATCATAAGTTAATGATTACCAGACTTTATTTAAGAAACGCCACTGACAGTACTTTTCATCCAAATGCTTACAAATTTATTCTGGACAATATATACAAGGCTTCAAAAGATATGAAATGCACTAATGCAGAGGGTTGATGACTTGAAACTTAAATTTGTTCAGCAATCACTATCTTCTTAAACAGCATCAGTATTAAAACATACAGGACAGCTGTTAATCATTGTAGCAGAAAAGACAATGCTACATAAAACTTGATCCAAGACCGTCGCATTTTTTCACTTCCTGTACAGACATTTGCATGTATGAGCACCCAGCTCCTTTGAATTGTGTTACCCATGCAGTTCTACGGGAAGCTTCTGAAAGATTGCTTGCTGCAATAAGCACAAAACTGTGTAAGTAATTACTGCATGAGTTTGCCAAAGTGGCAGATGTGCTAGGTTTGTTATTAAGACAGATGTACTTAAAGTACTTCAAGTACCTGAAGTACCTGAATGCACCTGAAGGCATTGGTTGCAGGCTATATATAGAAAAAAGAAAAATGAATGTTACATACTAAGTGGCAATAGATTTCTAAGCAGGAGGATATCACAAAGACACCTGGCAGAAATGATACAGTGCCTGACACATAAGGTGTTTATAAGTATTTACCTACCATTGCAAAATAGTTACTATTAACCATAATTGGTCCACGTCCCCTAAGGTAGATATATTCTTCCCACCAGTCACTAACCTGAAGGAGGAAGGAAAACAAAAGCAGTAAAATCTCATCAATTCCACAGTTTGTTTTTATGTTAATGGCTCCACAAGACAACATTCTGTACAGAAGCAGGAAGGAACTTCTAATTTGCCTCCCTACTTAAAAAAAAGACAACAAAAACCTCCCTAATTTCTGTCAAACTTAAGGGAAAACAGCAAAAAAAGCAGTGAGAGAGTTAAGTTAAATTCACCTATAGCTCTCTGATAAGCTTCCAAAGAAGTCATGACCTCAAGATAATATTTTAAAATGTATCAGATCTCCTGAATGCTTTGCAGCCTTTGCCAGGACAGCTTAGGCTACTGGGTACAGATATATGCTTGGACAATATATTACGAAGGAAGTATGTCACAGTTCGCACTATGATGGTGAGGTTTGGGTCTTCTTTTTGGTAAAAAAAAACCCCAAACCAACCCAATAAGAAAAAAGAAAGAACAGAGCAACAACAATATTGTTACAATTCTTTATTTTTCTTCTATATGCCTCAGCTGCTCTATATTACAAAATTGGCTTAATTACTCTTCTAAACTACCTGCGTAGCCAGACCCATTGTTGAGTTATCAAGCTCAACAAGTAAATAAACAGACTCCAAAAACAATTCTAGCAGCAAAAGCTAAATCACCTGCTCCAGAATAACCAACACAAAATAAGGATTCATTTTTTCAAGTTCCACTCACCACACTGTTTACCAAATCACACAAATTATTTATGTGCAAAATCAGGTGATCTCACACATACTTTAAAAAATAATAGGCAGTTTCAATTATCTTCTTTTACATTTAAGAAATAGTGAATCTTAAGCCAAAAAGGGCAACATGGAACAAATAATGTCATTTGAACAATTGAGCCTTCTATTTATACACTCACATAATTGGTGGCCCACCAGGATTTTAGCTTCAAATACCACTGCAGCCTTGGTCCCAAATTAAATGCAAAATCTTTGGCCAGACCCTCCATTCTTCTGAACTTTTCATCATCCATTAGTGGCCGAACTGATTCCAGGTACTAGAATACAGGAGAAGAATCAGCATCAGTACAGGAACAAATAAGTAGCTTCTCATCATTCCTATTAAAGCATTTTAACAGTAAACAAACATTATCCAGTCTCAACCCACAAGGCTGGAAATACTAAGTTTCTAAAATAATAGTATATGCTCTTCTAAATGTCTGCTGCAAATTTCAAAACATAAGATACTTTTCCAGACATTTCCAGCAAAACACAAGTGGAAGAGGTTACTTTTCTAAAGATACATTTTCCACTCAAGAGGGGAAGATATACTGCTTCTTCAGTAGTACATAGCAGACAGATTTTTTTTTCATCTCTGAAAATGAAACCTTCAGTTTCTGTGACATACTGTCATATTCACAGACTTTGCTGTAAGGCTGTGTGTCATAACACACATCTTTACCTGTTCAACCTGTGGAAGATAGAAGTGGTATGCTCCAAAACCCTGGAAATCCCACTTTGTGGCATAGTCTTACAACACCTGACTTCATGCCATCCAGTATGAATTACACTGGCTTCAAACTGTCACCATTTGCAGAGGTTTGTCACAGCCTTTATTTTAATGTCTATGCAGAAGTTTGAATCCATTATACAATATTAATACACCCATGCAATACTTCTATGAGACATGGCAACCCCTCCCATCTAAATATGGATTCAATGCTACTGAATAAAATAAATCAGTGAATGTACACACCCTATTGACTGTGTCTTTAACAGCTGGAACTGGCAATCGTGGTAAAGATGTCTGGAAACTGTATAACATGGGTTTACGTCCTGAGAACAGTTTTACAAGGGCCTGAGGAAAAGAAAAAATAAACACCACAAATTATTAGGTGCAGCAAAAGAAAAGCGACAGAGTAAAAGTGTAATGTAACTCAGCTCTTTTCAGTGGTAAATTATACTGTACTAAATTTAGGAAACTAGAATATTTATCACAAATAAAAAGGGCATTGACAGAAACTAACTTCCCAAAGGTTAAACAACATGTCAGTGGAGGACAAAGATGGTTATAATAATTTCTGACTTTCCAGTCAATCCTCTTATCATTAGACAGTACTGCTGTTTATGTATGGCATATCTTGATGTCAGTAGAAAATAAAGACAGTTATTTAGAACTTCTTTTCTTCATATATTTCCCTCTGTAAAGATTAAAAAACCAAGTCTACCAGTTGATCTTTTACTGCACTACAGAGCAGATACTACAAATATACCTGTATTGCACTTCGAAACAGGAATCAAGACTGTCACTCAGCCAAGGTTTCTAGGTAACTGTAGCCACCTTCAAAAATACTAATTATGCTTTGGTATCATGGTTTAGTGTTTTCCAAAATTACAGCTCAACATCAATAAGAGGACTGATATTATAGGGAATTAATTCAAGCATAAGTGTATCTCAACTAGTCTACTACATGATTTGAACATATCAAACTGTGCAAGCATGCCAGTGTTATATTCAGCGCTTGTGTTACAACCCAAACCAAAAAAGCCAGAGATGACTTAGCTTCAGATATTACAGCACCTTCTGTGTTCCACAGGAGACAAAAAACAGAAGCAGCATTTCTGCCTACAACTACTTTTCAGTTGCTGCACACAGTAGGCTGAAAGTCTAAACCATGCAAATTCTAAGTTACATGTGAAAGGATTTTGACAGTGTCACCCTATTTCAGCATGAAAGTGAGGTTAAGTGTTATCCCAGCAATCCAGTGGAACCGTTATTGTGAATGTATAATCTCGGTCCAATATATTATGTCATATATTGTATATGAGCCAACAGACTAAAGACAGAAGAAAACAGAGGATGTAATTTCACTATCAAATTCCAAAAACTTCCCCCTTCTGTCAACTGACCCTGTTAAACTGACAAAACTATTAGTTAAAATGTAGAGTGTTTCTTCCTTCTCAATTTCCTTGATCAGCACTGCTAGATGAGATTATTTTATGCAATACAAAACTCTTAAGAATTGCAGAGTATCACCAGCAAGAAAGATCTCCCTGCAAATGGGTCTGTATCAGAGCCATCAGATGAACATGGATGCACCACAGTGATCTGCCCAATAAAATCTATTTGCGCTTCGTGACAAGACAAATTTGAAATCAGGTGGGAAAGAAAAAGCTCAGCTTTCCATATGAAAATCTAATTGCATACTTGGGGACAATTTTATTCCAGAACTCTTAAGCCAGAAAAGGCTAAAGTTATCTTCAGACAGAGAATACCTGCTCAACTGACAAAAATCAGCAAACAGATTTCACAGTATTTACCTCTTAAGCAAAACTGTAGTAGAAAATTTATAAAGTTTGAGACCGTTAAATTGATCTGACAGACACATACACTTCATTACATCTGATTTCATATACAGATAGAGCAAATAATGTCATTCTAGCATATGTTGCATCTGTTCACATATGATTACTATTTTTTAATTAGGTAAAATAATTTAATTAATTTTTTAAAACTGCAACTAATAATTGGATTTTCCCCTTACCACTGGTACAGGAAATCTGACTTTAGAAGACAAAATATGTTCATTAGAACTGTCACCAGACCTCCAACCAGCCTAAAAAATCACGTTGTACTGTGACTGAAATCAGAGCTCAGGTTTCAGATTGGTATGGCTATTTGAACAGAAAACAGCATCATATAAATTATTATAAAAATCTGGAAAGCTAAGGTAGATGGAGCTGTTTTACTAGTAAGATCAGTCTTCTCTTTTGTTTGGTCTAGTTAAAGAGAGAATAAGATCTTAAAATAAATCTTCATAGTAAGTATAAATGAGACTGCTGGGCATACACCTTTAGCGTTCTGTATTCCAGAAACATTTATAATACACACCAAAATATATATGCAACAGATATGATAGGAGAAATTTATAAATACAATATGCAACAAAGCACGGTAAGTAGCATTACAGTTCGTACTCTTTTAAGGTCGATAAGGCAATATTAAGAGCTTTAAAATATCTATTCAGTAGGACATGCTGAAAACCAAGGCAGCTAAAGCTTCAAGCAATTGACAGAAAACCTTACCATTTAGAGCCTCTGGACTGTACAAATTCAAGTCACGAGGCTGATATCGCTTCCAGGAGAAACCATCAGTTAGAAATTTCATTTGTAAGAGACAAACATTAAATTCTATTTCAGTGTACCATTCTGGATACCTGTTCTTGAACATATTTCATAGTAAATCATGACATGTGCTTTGTTTAACACACATCAGTTAATTTTTGAGGCTGCAGAGACTAGTTTTGTCACAGTATGGTACTTCAATTATTTCTACAACCATACTGGCAAAACTGAGTTGAAACTACTTAGACCAATTAGCAAAACCCCACTTCATCTCTTGCAGCACCTATATCTATGTTTCCTATCACGTCGTTTAAGAATCCTTCTCGAAAGCACCACAATAATCCACAGGAGACATAGCACTCTCATCTTGCCCCTATATGAAAACTGCATAACAAGCCACCTCCACATTATGCTTCTTCTCTAACTTGTTTTGGAGGCATACCAGTAAATCAGTTGAAAACATATTCAGTATTATTTTCTTCAAGCATAAGAATAATTTTATAATGGATGACCAGAAATCCTAACATTTCAACAAAGAATTGGGGTAGCACTTTCTGTGAAGACAAGATTCTTTGGTGCTGCAGGCCAAATTTTTGCACACAGAGAAAAAGTAGGTATTTCAGTCACACGGTCCCAAGCAATTAGCAAATATAGAAGTTATTTTTGAAGTGTTTACTCTTCCTTCTATAAGGCCACAATAAATAGTTTAATTACAGCATTAGAAGGGTGCCTTAGTAGAAACAGCTACCTAACAGCCTCCTGTCCCATGACAGAGAAAACACAAGTAGGGAAAAAAAATACAAGATCTTCTTTTAGAATACAAATCAGACAGAAGTTAAGATGAAACAGGAAGACAACATATCCTTACCATCCAAAACTTGGTGCCTGTAGTAAGCTTGCCATGTTCAGAGAACATCCAACCATGATAGGAAAGCAGCATTTTCAGAGAGTAGCGCATTGTGACAATAAGGGCAACCCACAGCCCTGTGCCAAAAAGTACTCCACTCACTATGTTCTGTGTTTGGTTTGACATGTAGCCACTATTTAAAACAAAAGCCAGCATATGTCAGTTAATGTCTGTTTAAGTTCCAAAGAGAAGGTGATATTGCAAACCTAAGTTTAATGGTAATGGCCAGGCAATGGCCAGTCTTCGTGAACGAAGAACTCGGGAAGGTCTTTACACCTTCCAGCCTGCGCATTGGATTTTTTAGGTGAGACACAGTGTGTGCGGAACTGAGCCCACCCTTTAATCCTAAGGTTCATCTGCCGGGGCCAAGTGAGCTTGGACAAAGTTTAATGGTACTACAGGCAGGCATTGCGCAAGCTTTATGCCTGCTTACCCCTTTTTCATAAGCTTCTTTCCAAACACCTTTTCCTACATAAAGATCAAAGGCCACAAAAGATGCCAAATGAGCTTCCCAAGTACCCAGAAAACAATGCAGTAATACTGGTATAACAACCTACCTATTTCATACCCTCATACATCTGTCTCTTTGGTTTACCCTGTCACAATCATACTATCCCAAAACTGATACATTTTAACAGGAATAGCTTTAACAGTAGCTGCAAATAAAACTGATTTCCCTTTAAAGGAACAGTAACTTTTCTGTCTACTTACGTTGTATCAAGTGTTCTGTTGATTTTAGCTATAATTCCTAAGGAAGGATCAATTTTGGCATACATTGTTGACATCACACCCACAACTACAATAAGCCAGCTAGATGGGCTAGCAGGATAAACGCCGGTGATAATTCCATTCTGGAAAGAAAAGCCTTCACATAATTTTTTTCATACCAAAGTGGTTGACTTCATATTACCATGGAAAGACATTTAAGTAATTTAGTTTTAAACAAGTAGTTAAGCTTATCCAAGGAGTTCTTACATATGCTTATCTCAGGAGTAGGGAATGGATTTAGTTAAGTTTGACTACCACCGAAAATTGTCACAATAATATCAAGAATTAAAGGAACTTTCAAGTTCCCTTACCGAACAAGACACTGAGAATCAGAATCAAGATTTTTTTTTTTACAATTTAAATGGTCCTTCTCATAGCTAGCTTTATAATAAAACTGTACTAAGGCTGTTGTTAATATGCTTATGTTTTTGAAAGAGATGTTGAAGATACCCTGTAGCTTATGTAGATTGCTACTTACAG